GCGAATGTTACAAATTTTGACAGAAAAGAAGTTCCCCATTACTGATCTAGCCCTGTACTTCTCAAATTTTGATGTGCATACTAACCACCGTGATATCATTCAAATGTAGACTCTGTATTGGTAGGTCTGGATCAGGGCCTGAGATTCTGCATTTCTGACAAGCTCCCAGGTGATGCCGGTTCCTTCACCTATCTCTTCATCATTTGTCTAATAAAAATCCGAGGGTATCATGAGACCCTGCAGAAACTGGGGGAGTCAGTTTACATCTTGTCTTCAGCTTTCTGCCTGGCTGATCAGCTTAATAACCAAGAAACAAAGTATTTAGTTTGCAGTTCTTGTACTTAGAACTCCTCCTGGCACCTGGTGATTGCATCTTTCCTGTGTGCTCATTAACTAATCTGACTTGAATGTTTTTTTCTTTCTAATTGTTTCTGTTTATCAGTGTGGAGACTTCATAGTATACCTTTTTTTTTTTTTTTCCGGCCTACTTGTCAATTGGGAAAACATCTGGGTGCTTCCACATCGGTGACATTGTTCCCATTTGCGGTTGTCTCAGATGACCAACAAGGGATCTGCAGTTTTACCTTCAAGTACTTCCAGTACCCTGGGAAATACATTTTATATCAGCCTAGAGAAATTAACTCATTTAAAATGATGGGATTTGGAGTCTAAAAATTTATCTGTGAATGTTGATCTGTCCCTTGGTGGCTGCATGCTATTTAGCCTGTTATCAAAATTCTGAACTTCAATTTCTTCGTAGCTAAAATGGGGAGAAGATGATAGTAATAATGCCTCCTTCATAGGGTTCTTGTAAGGATTCAATTAAAAATCAGGGCTTGCTTTATAAATTGAAAACGTGTTATACTTTGTAAAGATCATCTTCTTACATACATGGCATAATAGTCTCATGTTCAAAATCCTCCTAAAATCTCATCTACTTTGCCAATAAACTTTCTCAGGACTCCTATTTCTCTCACTGTCTCTAAGCAAAACAGGTACATTCCTGTCTCACATACTGTGTTGTTGATTTAAGTACGATCCAGCTGGTTCTGACTCCTAGCGACCCCACATACGGTTTCTGAGGTGGTCAACCTTTGTGGGAGCAGAAAGCCTCACCTTTCTCCTGATGGAGCAGCTGGTGGGTTCAAACTGCTGACCTTGTAGTTCATAGTGTAGTGCTTATCCGACAGAACCACCATGCTCCCTCATACGCTATAGGCTTGCGCTTTTCCTGTTTCTTGAATGTCTATCAGAGATCGCTTTATAATCAAATCCTTGCCATTTTCCTAAGGTTATGTAATAAACTTTCAGCTAAGGTTTTTAGAATGTGTAGGATTAGATTCCCTCAAGGAAGGCATGAACTGGACATGCATGGCTAAGCTTACGAGGTGCCATGAGACAATCAGTGAGGTATGATTAGTTAGGAGAAGTGTTGAGAAAGGAGTTTAACTTGTGCTCACAGAAAGTCAGCATGGACATAAAACAGGGATCTGACATGTCAGGTCTGGCAGAGCTTCTTTGGGAGGCAGTATAGTTGGTTCTTGTTATCCACGGTAATTAATGTTCCATAAAGTTACTGTAAACACTGAATTAATAAATACTGAACCATTGCTCTTTAGGAAAGTACAGGATTAGATTTCTACAAGACTCTGGTCACAACATTTTTGTCAGCTGATCAATACATAATCTCATTTGATGTGTGTTTCTGTTTAAAGACACCTGATTTCAAATATATTGGTGATTCATTAACACTGAACTCACAACAAACACCACTATAATTACTGCCTGAATAAAGCTTATCTGAACATTAGACTATTATGCCATGTATGTAAGAAGATGATCTTTTTTGTACTTCAGAACACAAGACACTTCAGCGCTCCATGTGAGGGTCTTCATAAACAGCAAAATCATGCCCAAGAAACCCAGCAGAAATATGTGAAAACCATAGCACTGAATTGACCACAGAAGGACCTTTGTTTACACAACAGCTAAAACAAAAAGGCAGAGCGGCCCTTAATCACCTCAGCTGGGACTGTATGTGTCAGGCAACTCAAATTTTTTACTGCTGTGTGCATGCCCACATAGGATTATGAAAGGTCTGCAAGTATTGATTTGGAAGTGTAAACAAATTCGCAGATACAGCATCTTCAAACAATGAGGATTAACTGTGCTCTGAAAAACCCTGGCTCTGAGCTCCATTCCAAAGAGGCCTCTGGCCTGAAATCAAGTGCTTTAATTTACCTAACCCAAGTTTCAAATAGATTATTCAGGGAGGTCAGGTGCTTCTAATCAGCTTCAACTTTCTATGCATTCATTCCTTTCACATAGCTCTCCCTCAGGCTGCTTCTAAAAGTCCCCCAAGTCCAGAAACTTCTGTGGTATCTTAATCCTCCTACTTTGCATACCACCCCACTCTGCCCTATGGACAGACAGCAGACAGACAGACACATGCTCACAGCACTGGCTGCCTCATTATGTCCCACAAACAATGAGAAAGGGTTTCCATATATAAGGAAGATGATAGCATGGTCAAGAGTTGTTGTTTGTGGTGGTGTTGTTGGCAGTGACCCAGATATAAAAGATACACTTAAGAGGTAAAAAATCAAAGCCCTTGCTGTTTGAAAGAAAAATGCAGTTTTTTCCTTTGATATTAGTAAGACAAAATTCACTAGACATGTTAAAAGCAGGCATTCATACAATGTAAGTAAGCCATTTGATAACTGGGGTATTGTTGAAAAATCAGTTAGAGTCTTGTTCTATTAGGGGGAGGGCAGATAAAAATGAGAACTGGTTTTTAAAAGTAAAAATGTGGCTAATTTTTCTGTTTATCATTATACAGTGTATATAATTCTGTTAATAACTCTATTAACTGATTCCAGAACTTTATAGTTACTGCTTTTGTGCTCCACTGTGAAGACTTTGTTCTCTGTTCTTTGCATGTATCATTTTAACTCGGCTTTTTTTCCAATTGCTCCCTCTCCCTTTATTTCATTATTAAAGGGTCTATCACTCGCCATGACATAGACTCGCCACCGACTTCAGAGCGTGTTGTCAGTATTTACAAGTACGAAGACATTTTTATGCCATCAGCTGCCTATCAGACCTTCTCCTCTCCATTTTGTTTGCTTCTCATTGTTGCCCTGACCTTCTACTTACTGATGGGAACCCCTTAACTACAGCTGCAAGGCCAACCGATTCAATGGATTGGAAAGTCTTCAATGAAATACGTTTTTAAAGAAAATTCAGTATAATTTTAGCTTGTATGATTTTTTAAAAAAAACAAAACTCATATGATTTCAACTTTTTTGAAAGAAAGAACAAGTGTCTTTTCTAGTCAAAGAGGATTATTTCAGACGACCTATGCTTTCTTATTTGAGCATCACAACATCTCTGAATGGCTTGATGAAAATTCTCCTGGCGACTGTGCTGAATGGTATTTGAGACCCAGTAAGGCTGCCTTTTTATGATCCACATGCCTTGGCTACTTGATCAGATAACCTGTATCAAGTAGATAAAGAGCTAATCATCAAAACCATGCTCAAACCTACCTTTACTCATCCTATTTCTGCATTAAAGAGTAACCCCAAGTATTACTAGGGAAATTACAGTGGATGGAGCCATCTCACAGTCAGCATTTTAAGTTAAAGAACTTTCAGATTTCCACAAAGCATGAAACTTTGGGATATTTGCACTGCTGATGGGAAAAGGTAATTACAATGATAAGAAAATAACTTGTATTTATTTGAAATTTCTTCTCACTTAGTGAGTAGTAATGAGTATATTTTAACTGATGTTTGGAAAGGCTAAAAATGAAACTGTGAGTGTCCCTGAAGATGTAAAACTGCGTTAATCATAAAAACTATGGACTTATCTTATAACTTATCAGTTAGAATTTGCACTCTACCACCAGTGTAGTTTATAAGCTAGGTTTAATCTATGATTATAGTTCATTCTTTTGTCAAATTCATAATACATTTAAGTTTGATGTAATGTGTATTACAGAAGACCAACCAACTTAATAAAACTTGAAGTATTTTAATAATACATCAACATGTGTAGAAATTGTGGAGAGTTAGCGTAGAAACTTTTTAAAGATTATTTTTGCTTTGTTTAATTAGAAAATAGGAAGCTTACTGATAAAATGAGTTCGCCTAGAATATTCATTCCGAATGTTCAGGCTTGAAATTTGGACTGACAACATAATTTATAATAATGTCTTGACTTTCTTAATGCATTTCCTTTTTTTCAAAGGAATCCAAATGTTCCTTTGTTGCAAATGTCTTTGCTTGCAACCCATTTAAAGGGAAAGGAATCTGTGGGTATAGCTATGCTTCGACATTTCCATTGTAGAGTCTCAAAGTACTTTAGCTTCCCATTCCCCAGCCCCACACTTTTGACTCCCACCTGTTACTTTAAAACTGGCTCCCACTTTTTTTTGTGTGTGTGTGTGTGTGTGTGTGTGATATTAAGTAACACTGGAGACTGATATCTAGTGCCACCCTCAGAATTCGTGTCAGGATGGAGAAACTCCCTATGGGGAGAGTTTTCAAATTCTTATGGAACTGAGCAAAAATACAGAGGACATGGATGTTTCTGTTGGTACACAGTTTCCTACACACTTTCACTGGAACAGAAGAGAAAGAATCCTTATTGAAAATGGGAAGGCATCAGCTGAGTGATGGAACTGAGTATGATTCAAACTCAGTTCCTCTGGTTCATCTCCAGGGCTCCGCCTGACTACTGCCCCTCTTCACTAGGTCAGTCTTATGTGACGATGGCCTGGGTGTCACTTTCTAAACATTAACATTGGTTTAGTAGTGAGGATGCTGAGTATGCAAGCACTCACTTTGTAAATAAGAAAGCAAGTATTTTTCTAGTTCATTCTCTATGTGTATATTTCAGCTATAAACACTTAAGACTAAGGAGAGACTTCCAGCTAGTCTCTATAGTCGACTGGATTGGAATAAATTAATGGATTTCTCTAAGGCTTAACATTTCAAATCAACAAGATGATTCTTTCTACTAGTCATTTCTACATTTTTTGCATATTTGTGCCCAGAGCTTCCAATGACTTCTTACTGTCATTAAGGTGTAAAGTACAAACCATTTGATTACCTCCAATCTCATTTCTTGCCACGTACTCACTTGCTGTGTCCCAGGAAGACTACTGCTTTCAGTTCCTCAGTGCTCTCACTTCCCTTTCAAACTGTTCCTTTTGCCCACTTATTTTCCAGCCTCCTCTGCTGGAAGAACTCTTATTCACCTTTCGTTTCACAGCTTCCTACACTCCCTTGGTCTAGGTAGGTTTGGGGTATCTGCCATATACTTGCAACGTATCCTGGGCTTTCTCATCATAACATTGATCATAAACAAAAACCCAAACCATTTGCCTTCGAGTCGATTCTGACTCATGGTGAGCCTATCTGTGTCAAAGTAGAACTGAGCTCTATAGAGCATTCAGTACCTTTCTTCCAAGACACCTTGAGGTGGACGCAAAACACCAACCTTTCATTCAGCAACAAGTGTGTTAATAGATTGTACACGCAGGGACTCCAATACTTACCTTACTCTAATTGTCATTTCTCTTCTAAAACTCTCTAATGGTAAGGACCATTTTTCTTTATTCATCATTGTAGCCAAAACTTGTATATAATAGGAACTCAGCAAACATTTGCTGAACAGGTAAAGAAATGTAACTAGACTTTTATGACAAATTTGTGTGAGTCCAAAGGCTTGTATTTCATATATATTGCCAGACTGACCAAGACTTTTATAATCTGCTTGTGATAAAACCCATTTTTTTTAGCCAACACTGAACTTTTCCTTTTGAAACACAAGGAGGAATATTGGGAGTAACAAAGCTGTTTTGCCCTGTAGTGAATATTCATTGACATAATTCTGAATAATAATCATTGTTCACAAAAAAGCATTCAACGACCAGGGATACTAAACAACATTTGACCATCTCAGAGCATCACTAATTTATAGACACATTGAAGTTGAAACTGTAGACTTCCATTTCCTTCATTCTTACCTAATCTAAGAAAATAAACTTCTATTTTGTATCTATAGCTTCATCTTTTAATATAATGTTTATCACAAGAAAATGCCCATCAATGTTTTGTTTTAATGCTATAATAAGATTAGCTAAAATGTATATCATGCTATTCTAAGCATTTTATATGGATTAATCCTTACAACAAACACAGGAATGAGATTCTAATATTAATTCAGTTTTACAGATAAAGACACTAATTACCTATGCTGACAGAGATTTTAAAGGTCATTTAATTCAATGTACTTATTTTCCAAAGGAGTGACTTTGGAGGTGATATAATTTTCCTGGAATACATGCCCTCATGCACATTTATTAAAACTTTTCTTAGATCAAACCCCACTATCCACACTCAAATTAGGTAGGTGTTTCCCTATAAGTCTCTTCAGTCATTTGTCATGGATAGGAGAACTTTCAATACTTACATTGGGGCGGGGGTAGGAGGAAATACCTTTCTACTCAATTTAAAAATATTTTGGTTGTTTTATCAGGCATTTCCATGCTTTTATTAGATGTTTAACATAGCATACAGATTGGGCAGGACTGGAAGAATGTATTTGTCTTAGTTGCCTATAATCCAGGTCTTCTGATTTGTAACCCAATGCCCTTTTATAACTCCTCTCTGTTTTTCAAATGTGAATCTTGAACATGATTTCAGACAAAATGCAAGACTCATTTAATTGTTAGCTTTTGTCATTAAGGAAATCAGAAAGTTTGGATAACTCAGGGATGGCTATCCATCACTGACTGGTTTTATTCCTACTTCTGTAATTAAGTTTACTGCCCATATGCAGGGTTTTGTACTTAGGAAATATTACTGCTGAGGTTGTGTATCATTTCTTTATTCTAGACCAGGGGACAGCAAACTTTTTCTCTAAGGGCCACATGATACATATTTTAAGATTTTAGTCTCTGTCTCAACTAACCAACACTTGAAGACAACATGTGAATCATTCAAATAGCATGGCTCTGTTTGAATAAAACTTTATTGACACTAAAATATGAGTTTCATGTAATTTTCACATGTCACAAAACATTCTTCTTTAACTTCTTAAAGAACATATAAAAATCATTCTTAGCTGACAGGCCCTATAAAAACAGGCAGCGGGTTGGATTTGGCTTACAGACCGAAGTTTACCCACCTCTGATTTTGGCTGTGGACACACCAGCGTATTAGAAGCAGTTGTAACAGAGTATTGCCAGCAATTTAATACTGGCGTGATGCTGTAGAATAGGCACTGGACTGCTAACCACAAGGTCGGTGGTTCAAATTCAAGAGCTGCTTCTTAGAAATCCCATACAGGGTTCTTATGAGTGGGAACCAACTTAACAACATGTAACAATCATAAAAATACCCAAGTTAGTGAATAATTTTGGGGGGAATAAGTTGTAGTTGATTGTTTTCTCAATAATGGCATTCCCAAGCACTGTTTTAATATATTTTCTGGAGTTGAAAAGGTGGCAATTAATTCAGAGCTGGGTTAGTAGTAGTTTATTTTATCTAAGCTGCAGCAGTGGTGAGTGATGCTTAATGTTGATGGTGGTGATTGCAATGTTTTATAATAATTTATTTCACTGTAGAATTATTTTTTAAAGTTTTCTTGAAAGCTATACCTGCAGAAGTGTTTTACGCATGTAACTATGGCATCTACCTTGTGTTTCACAGTGAACAAGTGAGAAACACTGCACTAGGACAAGTGTGTGCTTGATAGTGTATAATTGTATTCTATCTCCTCATTCGCTAAGCAGAATTGGTTATATGATAGTGTATAATTGTATTCTATCTCCTTATTCGCTAAGCAGAATTGGTTATATTTAGTGAGTGTTCTGTTTCTCAGTATGTTTATATATATAGTTTATACGGTATGTATGTGTGTGTATCTATACATGATGGAGTGTATGTTTATAAATGCCTATACATATATACATATATGTGTGTGTGTTATATATAAACATGTGCCCACATGTACACACACATGTACTCATACAACTATCTTTTGGAGATCTTTTTCAGGGTTGTTTCTATTTCTGATGTCTCCACTACTTTAAAACCCAAGAGATAAAACATTATGCGTAGACAGACAAAGCTGCCCTTGAATGTATCAATTTAGTTAGTAGATTGGACTCCTGGATCCTTTATTAACCCTTGGCACCTCCATGTAACATTATCTGAATTGACAGAATGTATAACAAAGTCTCGTTGAGCTTGACTTTTATATACTGTTAGTTAAGAAACCAAGACTAGTATTTGCTAACTAACTGGCATGTTGATACA